AAAAAAAAAAAAAAGAATAACAACAAGGGCTGGAGATTTAGCTCAGTGGTTCCACCACCTGCCTCGCAAGCGCAAGGTCCTGAGTTTGATTCCCTGTACCGAAAAGAATAACATCAAAAACATTGGAAAATATCATTCAAATGAAATCCTTTTTGTTGGTAAATATCTGACAACCCCTTTAGCTAGGTACCAAATTCCACAGCAAACTTTAGCCTAAACTAGACTTTTTTTTTTTTTTTTTTTTTTTTTTTTTGTCTGTTTGGTACCAAGGATTGAACTAAGGATCTTGTGATTATAAGACAAGACAGGCATGGGCACCACTGAACTAAATCCCCAGCCCTGGGACATTTTAATCTATTCTATTTAAATTGGACCAAAAAAGAAGGATCCCAAAGGAAAACTACCAGATTATATTAAAAGTTTGGGTTATCAATCAAGTTCATAAAAAATAATTCACCAATAATTTATTGGGAACTGCTGTGGTATTTCAGTTCACAAAACTTAATTCATTTCACAATTCTGGTGACAACTGAATTGGATGAGAACTGAATTTGGTTCTCATCCAATTAGGTTTGCAACCAGAATCATGGAAAGAATTAAGTTCATGAACTGAGGTACCACTGGGTGCAGAGCAGACTGTACTAGCACGCAGGTCAGCAGCACACCTTTCCTTTGGCATGGCCTTGATTCACATCAGGCAATGGCAGAGCCATTCCACTCTCAGTCCTGTGAGAAGATGAGAACACTCTGACTCTGATCCCTGCTTTGGGGACTGTACAGGGATCCTGACAACACCCTTTGTCAGTATGCCCTTAGGAGTATTCCAGTGTGGGTTCTTCCTGTCTCTCTGCACTATGGAGTCTAAAGAATGATGCCAAAGAAAGAGTGCTGGGAGGCAGTGCTGTGATGTACACTTGCTGCGTGACTCTGATAATCTGGGAGAAATCCTTACTGATGTCATATGAGAAACTAACACAAAGACTTAGAGTTTTGATTTCCTCAAGCTTTTGCCCTAGTTTCGTATCTCTCCCTACTATGTATCTCTCTCACCTGTGCCCCAAACTGACATGCAAATTGAAACATCCTGGCCTCTGAGCAGTGACAGATGAAAACTACAAAGGTGAAAAATGCATGGCATGCATTTGCTTGGTTGGTGTTGGAGATGTAGGTGGGTTGAGCAGGATGAGCCAGGCGGGAGAGGTGTGTTTATACTTATGGACTTTAGACAATGGGCAGGTCTTCCAGCAGAATATGCCATGCACACCTGATGAAAATCAAACACATGCCAGAACACGTGGTAAGAAGGTGTTCTTCAGTGTGGTAATTTGGTAACTGTTGAAGGGCTAGTGGTGAATGAAGTCTGTTCATCCCCTTCCCTCATAGAACAGCATTCCTGTTTTGCAAGCTCTTCAATTTGTCCCTGACCTTGACAATGACATCAGATTTCAGGGTAGGTCTCAGAAGGGCCTTTTTGATAGGAAGTGCACCGTATTGCAGACAAACATATGAAATGGCCTCACTTTAAACAACCCACTTTTGGGCTAGGGTGTAGCTGAATAGCAGAGCACTTCCTTGGCATGCAGGAGCACTGAGTTCAGCCCCAACATGGAAAAAGTAAACAAATAAGCCAGTAACAAACAAAAACAATCTGCTTACTCCATGAGACCAGAACAGTCCTTATTATGGGTGGAGTTCCAATGACCTAATTGTCTTACTAGGTCCCACTTTGTAAAGGTTCCACCATCTCAGCGTGGACCGAGATCCCAAACATGAGACTTTTAGGGGACTATACTTAAATCATATCCAAACCATAATACCTGCCTTGCTCACAGAATTTGAAAATATTGGGACAAGTTGTCAAACACAGATGTCCCAAACATGAGTTGTATTCTGGCCAGGGCACTCTGTTGGATCTTGTCTGAAACCATTACTGGCAATTCTGATGGGCTGGCGTGGGCCTGGTGGTGGGTCTGGATGCCCCAAGTCTGAGATGGTCAGAGTATCTTCCTATATTGGGAGGGAGATTATATCTAATGACCTCAGAGTATGCTGGCCATGTAATATACCCTGGACCTGTGACACTCTGTGAGAGTAAAATGGGCTTTATTAGTAATTAAGCTTGAACTAGAGGCGTGAATTAAGACTGCAGAATGTCAGCTAACTTTGTGAGTTTGGGAGTCAACCTTTAATAAGAGGAAATCTAATGTGTAAATGGAGCTAATTTGGTCTTTGGAAATGTCTATTTTATGTTCCTATCACAAGATAGCTGTCACAGACCTCCTAATAGAACCATGTTCCCTAAATGCATAAGAACAGGTTTCTTTAGAATTAGCAGACTGGACACAATAGATACATAATATTAAACATCCATATTAGAAGGCCTACCACTGTTCCTTAGAAGATACCATGAAGTGTTTTATGAGCCTAAATTTCTATAAGATGTCTAATTAGATCATTATTTTTTTTTTAAAAAACCTCTCTTCTCATATTGTT